AAATGGTGCCAATTGCAACAAAACGGCTTTCGGATTGAAACTTTGCTGCAGAGTGCAAGAGCTGTGGAAGCACCTGGAGCTGGGCACTCCATGATGGTGGCAATAGTTCATTTGCCATCTTCAGAACCTCGCCGATGAGTAAGGTTGTTTTGCGCTTCAACGGCAGTGTAAGGGGCTCTGCTTCAGCCTGCAGCAAAGCTGGCATCAAGCCGGCGTGCAGAAATGCCGCCAGAATCACAGAGACGTAGTGATCCAGCAAGCTCCACTTAGTGGTATCATCTTCAGTGCTACTGGAAGCTGTCGTGTCTTTGATTTGCTGATTTTTGAGGTTCGTAACACGTCCATATGTAGTCAGTCGACGTCCAGCAAGAAACGAAGAAGACCATGAAGGGGGTTTGATCCTAAGAAGATCGAATAGTAATTCTAGAATAACACTCCGAACGTGAGGAGTCGGTATTTGCAATGACCAAAGTAAAGATCGGAGTGGAAGAAAGTCGTTCATCGAAAGAGTGAGTAGCCCGCCCCAACTTCGGAGCAAGGACGCAATGACCTTGGCATTGACTTTAAGTTTTTCTTCGTGAAGATGTCCGTGAATCGTGCTTGCGTCAGTAAACAATGCAAACGGAGCTTCGAGTTCTCGTCCGGATCGCAGGAATCGACGTCTTCTGGGCGTGTCAAGAAGGTAAAGGAATGAGGTACCAACACTCTCTGCGGCGAGGTAGCTTCCTTCTCCCAAAGCATCTGCCAAAGCGCCCATGCCCCCAGCTGAGACTAGAAGAGATGGTTTTCGGACAAGGATTTCAGCCAGAGTCAGTGTTGCAATGTTCCTGAGGCGGTCTTCTGCATGCTCGGCCACAGCCACAATGATGCGAACTACGGCACGTGCAATCTCTTCAACACCTCCCTTGACATCTAGAAAAGCTCGAACAAACTTCAGTGCTTGTTCACGCTCAACGCTAGCCTTGCTCTCCTTGACCAATGATAGAATGACCAAGTGATCTGTATGAAGGGCCCGTATAATTCGGAGCGACTTGCGGTCGGTGAAGGAGTAGCGCATGACACGATACGCTGCTGCGACTACTTCACGGCTGTCGCTGAGTAGCATCGTCTGCATTCGTAGTCCGAACACCGACCAGGCTAGGTCGTACTTGAGTGTGGGATGTCGCTTGAAGAGAAGGACGAGAGAGTTTGCTCTCTCTACGTAATATTCCGGTTGCATGCCCTGGACTTCCAGAGCCTGAAGTATCTCGGCGAGGACAAAAGTTGGTGACTCGGTCTCCTCATCCCCGTCCTCTTCTTTCTGGGCCACATGGCGTGATGGTGAGCGCGATAGGTTGCGACGGAAAAGATACGAGAGCCTGCTTTGGGGGTCGGCTGGTGGAGATTTGACCTCCTTGGCTCTCTGCTTCTCCGCAGCCAAGCCAGACTGGAGCTGGGCCAGTTTTCTATTTGATATGTTTAGTTGTTCCTCGACTTGCAGCCGTTGGTTCTTGACTTCTTTTGCATTCTTTGCATTGAGTGCCTCCAACAGGTTCTCTGAGCCAATCTTGATCTTAGTCTCCTTCTCGATTTGGTCCTGCAGCTCAGCCTGTCGCTGCTCGGACGTGGTTCCGTCGTGGTCGGCAATGGTGATTGCGTGCATGTCGAAGTCGGGGCGGACCCTGCCGTCCTGGGCTGTCGATGGCCTGGTCAGAGCCGTGTTGAAGCTGCCGGGCCCCGTGTTTGCAGTCGCATACGAGGCATATGAGGCCTGACCACCCCGCGAGCTGGCCATACCAGCAGCCGACATGGAACGGCCATCTCTACTCGTCGTGGGCGCAAGGAGCGAGGTTTGATCGGCAGCGTCGGCCTGGGTATTGAGTGAACGGGCGGATGGCGTCATGAGCGCGCCTTAACCGTGACCTGGCCAACCGCATCGCACATGTGTCTGGCGGCGGTGCCCTTGTCTTGCCTCATGAGCATTCGCGGGCAGAGGTGAAAGTGTGCCCGTCGCGGTACCAGACCGGAAGCGGAAGTGTGGCTTAGCCGCGACGTGGGAGGGAGTAGCCGTGGCCGTGGCAGAGGCTGGCGAGAGTGGGGCGCGTGTATATGGCGGGTGAGGGTGAATGAGGTGGGAAAACAGCGCCGTCCATAGCCATCGCGACCTGTTGCGGGCGGTGGACGTGCACGGACTGGGCTGCCCCTGCTACTCCACTACTACATACTTCAAGACACACACTTGCTTGCATTGTATATTGTATACATACAGTATTTCCATGTATGTACATCTTCCTGTCATGCAGCCACAAACTATAATCATCTCGATCTGGACTGACCATGGCCTGATGCCGTGCCGAGTCGAGCCTGCCGACGAGGCCCCTCCACCTCAAAGCCGTGCAATCTGCCCTCTTTGTGCATCGGCAAGCGGGGGCCTGGCTCTCCCCCCGTCACGTGCGCGCCCTGCGCCGTTATCCAGGGCCTCGTCCATCGACCGGAGCTCGCCGATGGCCATGTCAACGAATCGAAGCGCGTTCTCGCCGCTTCCTGCGCGATAGTCCATAGCTTGCTCGTGAAACCATCCGATACACATCGGTCTCCTCCGCTTGCCGGTCCCCAGTCCAGCTGCCGTTTTTCAGTGGTATATCTATCTTGATCGCCCTTTCGTGACTGTCTGCTTCATCTGCACATCATCATCCAATTCACATCATCGCAATGTCTCAGCTTAGCTACGCCCGCTACGGCAAGGATAATGTCCGCCTGTACAAGGTCGACAAGGACCCCAAGACCGGCATCCACACAGTTGTCGAGCAGACAGTGCGCATCTTGCTCGAGGGAGACATTGAGCAATCGTAAGCATACTAACACAAGTCGCCATGACGCCAACTGACGCGCCCCAGCTACACCAAGGCAGACAACTCGGTAGTCGTCGCGACCGACACGCAGAAGCAGACCACCTACATTCTCGCAAAGCAACACCCCATCGACCCACCAGAGCAGTTCGCCGCCATCATTGGCAACCACTTCATCAAGACCTACCCTCACATCCACGCTGCCCACGTCAAGATCATCCAGCACCGATGGACGCGCATGTCCGTTGACGGCAAGCCTCACCCACACTCATTCTACCGCGACGGCGAAGAGACGCGTGTCATCGAGGCCGTAACCCGCGAAAACGAAGGCGTCTCCATCCGCTCCAAGATTGAGAAGCTGCTCGTCCTCAAGAGCACAGGATCAGCATTCCATGGTTTCCATCGCGACGAGTACACAAGACTACCCGAGACATGGGATCGTATCCTGAGCACCGAGATTGAAGCCGGGTGGCAGTGGAAGCTGTTCAAGACTTTGGATGAGGTTAGCAAGATTGACTTCGGCGCTGCATGGAGAACTGCGCGAGATATCACCATGAAGGTGTTTGCCGAGGACGACAGCGCGAGCGTGCAGGCAACCATGTACAAAATGTGCGATTTGATATTGGCAGCTGTCCCCGAGGTTGAGGCTGTGGACTATTCGCTCCCCAACAAGCACTACTTTGAAATAGGTCAGTGCATTCAGTCCATATTCGCATATTCTAGTTTGCTAACATGATACTCAGATCTCTCATGGCACAAGGACATCAAGAACACAGGCAAGGACGCCACGGTTCTCGCGCCTCAAACTGACCCCAATGGTCTCATTCAGTGCACTGTCACCCGAAAGGGAACAAAGTCCAAGTTGTAAACATCATCTGTAATTACTGTGTTGCATCTGCCCAAATGCGACGCTTTGATTTCCTGTATACCCTTTGGCGCTTAATAATTTTAGGGGACGAACTTTGAGTGAGTAGAACATTATACCAATATACCTGATAGTACTGGAGAGTAGCAAAAGTAGAAAAACCATTGAAATGAATTTTATGAATTTCTGACTGTCCCGATCGCAAGTGCATGCCACACCAAGACGATAAGTTCTTCTTCAAATTTGCCAGAATTCTACTTTCAAGGTTGAATTTGCAGTTACAATTGTGATCACTTTTGCGTGATGTCGGCTACGCCCGCGCCTGCAGAATGGGACAATCTTACCTAAGCAAATCAAGCCAGTGACGTTCTCGCATGCCCAAAACTTATCGCGAACTTCATCTAATTAGCAGCCGCATCGCATCCACCGCACCACCCACATACCCCTCCTACATCAAATCACACGGCATGAAATTGCGACTCCAAAAAACTCTAGTGTAGCGACTAACAGTGATGTAGTGTTTCACACAACCGCAACGATGCCTCCCAAGTACATGACTGGCAAGGGCCGCACCGTCCAAGAGCCCAGCTTCGCCTCCAGTACCATCTCGGCTTTTACCAGCAAGGAGAACAGGAGCATTGTCGCCGCTGCTGGAATGTTCGCTGTAAGATAACCCCGGTGATAGAGAAGGAGGCATGAAAGACTTGGTTCGGGTAGCCAGTGGGGCGCAAATGAAGAAGTCTTAGAAGGGCGACGACGCGAAGATACAATGCTGACAATTGACTGCGCAGCTTGGTGTCGCTTTCCTACACAGCAGCTGGGCTGAGATCCTCCTGCCTGCGTAAACGAGCCGATCGGATACCGGAAAACGAAACAACATATGCGCTACCATTGAATATTCTGACGCCAGGATTGAATATCGATATGCGTGCAGGAGACACAGCCTGTAATCAGAAAAAGTCAAACGAATCTCTACGCCTGTGTACATATACCAAATTTTACCCCAGGGACGAGCAATGGAACGGGCGTTCAGGTACAATTACGATGGTGGGAAAAATTATGTGAACCCAAACACGGTTCCAAGCATCTTTGTAACATTATGTAACAATAATCTCCCTCTTACCCCTCTGTTCTCCCCTTCCTTTCCTTTCGTATTCGATGTTCTCTCTTTCAACGATCGATTCGTCGCTACGTCACAACCATCGCAGAGCCGCAGAGGCTGAAACCCTACATGCTTCACCCGCACGCTTCACCCCAAATGCCAAGCGCTGTCTTGTTGTCACGGAGAAAAGAAAGAAAGCTTGTACATGACACTCGGACGGTTTACTTTTCCCTCGCCCCTTGACTCGACGTTGGCGTTAGCCCCCCTCGACCCGACACATTCCAAGCTTGGCCCTGTGTTTCGGGGTTTGGTTCCAAAGAACCCAGCCTCACTTGAAGCTGCCACTGTCCCAATACGAACGTTGCCAAGTCTCTCACACATGCTTGGCCATCAAGTCAGCCACACCCCATGCGCCGTGCCTGTGTCAAGTGGGTGGGCTCAGCCGATGCTCGTCCCATTTCTTGGGCAACCCGTCGCGTACCTCACTTTACGCCTTGGTCCCTGGAAAACCAAAAAGGGAAATGAACATATAGCAACTTTTAAGAGAGAACAAAAACAAATGTGAGGCTAAGCTATACGACGGGTAGATACGATGCCGCGCCTCCTTCCCAAATCTAATTCACACGGCCTCTTTTTCTCATTTCATTGGAGGTTCCCATGCAAAGCGCACCATTCCCAATTAGAAAAACTTATCTAGGGCGCGTACACGACGTATCGAAAGCGTACACGTGCGATTACGTAGTAAAAAAAATAAATCAAGCCCTCACTCCCTATTTTCCCACTCACAATCAAATGACATTCAATCACTTTGCTGGTCCCGCGGCGCAAGCCAGCTAAGCTAGTCGACCAACAAGAAATAAAAAATACAATCACATTTGCTAACCGCCTATCGTTGACTACTTACATATGGAAGAAGAAGAAAAAAAATGCACATTCTCACTTTCACCAACCCCACGCGATCGATTGGCCCGCAAGCCAAGGTATCTTGGGACGAAAGGATACCCACACCTCGCTCCGCTCCCCTACCCCCCCCCCTCTCTCTGCTTCAATCATGCGCCAATGGGATGTCCAGGGAACAGAAAAAAGGTGCTAGGACAAGCCGGCTTGATGAATGACATTTCTTGGCCTTTTCATGTGTGTATGTCTTTCTCTCTTGTTCTTTCCTTTTCGGCCGTTTTTTTTGCTGGCTTCCCAAACCCCCGGTTGTCGGGTTTTTCGGAAGGGGAGGATATGGGCATGGTGTTGGTTTCGTAAGCGCTGGTGGCGTTTTCTCTCTATCTTTTTTTTGGGGGGTGGGTACACGTGCGGACGTGTGAGTTGGTGCGTTTCTGGACGAGTATCGGAGAAAAAGGTGGAGGGTGCTTGGCTGGGACAATGTGGCCGAAGTGGTGGGAAAAGTGTAGACTGGGCCGTGGGTGAGAGGTGAAAAGCATTTGGATGGGGGAGTTAGGCAGATGCAGCACAGAGTAGTTGAATAGACATTGATCAAAATCATCCCTCTATTGGTAACTACGCAAACAAACAAAAAAACAGACAATCTCTAACTTTTTCTCAGAGTAAAATCGTCTGCCTGTGTGTATGCGGGTGAAATTCGGATCAACAGTCCGGCTGTGAAAGAAAAGTGAGAGTATACAAAAAGTGAGGTCTCTGTATCTAAACCAGAAAATAAGACCCGGCATTAAGGCCCGCTAGAATTACAGCAACAAGAGAAACCTGGCCATCCTCAAGATGACAACAATCAGATCCTATCAAGAAGGCATACAAGAATGATAAAGGGAAATGTGTCGTAAACATGCGTGATGCTGGGGTATCTTTAGTCTATACTTCTCTAACCCAAACCTAGCAATGCAGTTAGTATATGGTTATTCATTTCGAGAGTGAGTATTTGGTAGTGACTTACCTCCATCTTCGCAACATCGGAGCCTTCCTTTTTGGCAATGCTCTTCGCCGCCTGGATAGCCATATCCAGATCATCTTGATCAGCCATGGTAATCATGTCACCATCGTCCTTGAACTCGAGCTTGAACTTGTTCCGGACACCAAACTTCTCCCGAATTTGTTGCCAGAATTCGCTGATGAGTTGGTCTGAGCTGATGAAGACGTAGCGTGTGTCAGTGGAGTGAACCTTCACTCTGATCTTGCTACCTGCACCGCGGTTGCTACCACCGGATCTGGTGGACCTCGCCGGTGATCGTCTCCTTGATTTGGTGCGGGGCATCATTTCAAACTCGGCATCGTCAAGATCACTGCCATCGTAGTCGTCTTCCTCCTCCTCTTCAATGTAGGCTGGTCTTCTGGTCGACTTTGTACGGGAGTATTGGCCGCGGCTTGAACGCGATGGTGCATAACCATCATCCTCGTAGTAGTCATCGATGATGTCTTCGTCCGAGCCACGGCGGCGCTGCTGCCTGCTGTATTCACGATCGCGTGTGTCACGATCACGAAGGTCTCGTTCCCGCGTATCGCGCTGTCCCCGCTCACGTGTAGACTCTGAGCGAGCTGGTGGCGGTCGCTCCGATGCAGAGCGCTGTGTTGGCTGGCGGCGGGGCGGCTCTTGGCTGCTTGGCTGGTCGAAAGCAGCTCGTCCAAGATTCAAAGGCTGGGGCTTGGGCCCGCCACCTCGTACAGATTGTGCGCGGCTCATTGGGGCGTTGGGATCAGCTGCAGGTCGTGCTCCAGCAGATCTCCTTTCACCAGATCGCCTATCCGCCTCCGGTGGCGGTGTGGGTGGGAATACATTACGGTTCATCGGGGGTTCCGACTGCTGGCGTGCTCGGCTTTGGAGCTCTGGCTTGACAAGGTTGGTTGCCGCGTAGGAAATCTTGTCTTCGGTTCTGTCGTCCTTTGCAGCCTGGCCTCCCTTCTTAATCTCAGCACCAGCAAAGCCGGTAAATGCGTTGGATCGGTCTGATGCGGCAACAAGGCGGGCCTTTCCAAGGTAGTCCTTTGTCTTCAAGTTCTTGACCTTTGCCTCGTTCGGGCGGTAGACGATGCCAACAGGAATAGAGAAGACGGTGTAGCCCTGGAGGGGGCATTGTTAGTTCGTAGCACATTGGTACAAATGCAGAGTCACACATACCTCGGCTTCCTCTCGAATTGCCTCATCAATTACATCGTGGTCTGGAACCACCTTCTCCTTGGCAGCAAAGGAAAGATCCTGCAGACCGGCATCCCTCTGTTGGAGGTAGATGTAGCAGAGACCACGGTTGAACAAGACCTCACAAGAGTAGAGCTTGAACTTTAGGCCCAGCTGTTCGTAGTCGATGTTGTTGTTTCCACGCAGGTACAAGAGAGTGTCGTTGAAGTTGGCAAGGGCCTCCTCAAAGTCGCCCATGAGGAAGTTGGACACACCCTGCTGGAAGTATGCGACTGCGAGATACTGGTCCAGACGCACAGCGCGCTGGTAGCATTCGACCTGGGTAGTCTGTCAGTATGCCCCTCATGGCATCCGCAGCGTAGCGCTCAACTTACCGCCTTCTCGTGCTCACCGAGGGTAGCATGGATTACGCCGCAATTAAACAGAATCTTGGATGTGTCGGAGATCTGCTCAAAGACCTTCAGTGCCACGTCGAATTCGTTGTTGTCGTAGCTGGCGAGGGCTGCCACCCAGGTTTCGATTTCCTGGCCTTTCTATCAGCAATTGCAGGTGGTGAGGGCTGTTGTTGAGCGTACCTGTTTCAGAGACATGACGAGTGGTGTTCACTTGTTTACCCGGCAGTATGGTGTCGTCAAGCCTCAGCTTACTCTTACTCTCCCGCTCTCTTCTCTTTGTCAGCCCACTTTGCGAGGGTCGTATCTTCTTTCTTTCTTGCACACACACACAAACACGGGAGGGTTAAAAGCCTTGGGGGGGTCGGGTGCGGGAGGATTAGGGTTGTAGCCGCCGGGGCTATTTGAGTGGCGCGGTGCTGACGATTATTGCTCCGGGAGGGAATGTGCGGTGGTGGTAAGTATTAGCAGGTCGAGACGGCCTGGATGCAGCTCGGAGCGGTTCGCGGTGAAATAAACGATTGTAGCGGTGCAAACGATTAGAGCACAGTTGGAGGGCCGGAAGAGAGGGAAGAAGGTTTCGATGGCGACACGCAGAAGAGACAGGGGACGGCGGGCATATGGCGGGCGGTTGTGCTGCGAGGGCTATAGGTGGGGAGACCAAATCTGAGGTCCATCGTGTTTGAGGCACAAGGCTTGGCTGGCACCTCGTCCGTCGAGGTGATTGGACCCCTGCAACATGGACAGCGCTTCGAGCTGGCCGTCCAAGACGCCGCAACCCGGCCAAGTCAGCCAGCCCACCGTGGCACCACGGCTGGTTTGGCCCTGCCCATGCCTCCGTTCGCTCTCGTCCACCCGCCCTGGCCGCGAGGCGGGCTGGAGTCGAGGCTGCTCAGCGCCCGCCTTGCAACAGCCCCCTTTGATCTTTGACCAGGGCGTCGAGGTGGCGTTTGAGGTCTGTTACATGGCCACGGTCCGACTGAGACAGCCACGTGACAGCCACCTGCGCCAGCCAGTCATCCCCTCGCCTGGCCCTCTCAGGCATGAACGCATAACAACTCCAATCCTCCTCGAGTCAACGATCCCGCACCCGCAGTTTCGGCCTCGCCATCAAGGCACGCGTGTTATCTTAGCAGCACACCCTCGCGGCACTTGGACGGCACTATGATTGCTTGGTCTATCTTGGTATTACTTATCTGCTTCCTGATCAGAGCATACCGCGATCGCGCTGCTCCTCGCGCTCCTGCCACACCGTCTTGCCAGAACACGAACACACCGTCTTGTCGTCTGCAATTACATCAACGTTAGCAATGGTGTACGTGTGCGTGTGCGTGTGCGTGTGCGTGTATGTGGGACCTGGAGTTGATCGATGTCCCAGAACACGTGGGGAAAGCTGGCGAAGCACTTACTATCCCATACGCCCGCACTGCGTGCAATGACCCCAACTAGCGTGTCTGCGTCGTTCTTGTCAAACTATTGTGAAGTTAGATTAGATCAAGGCCCAGCTCCATGGTGACGCATACCTTGCCGTCCTGCTCTTTCGCAACCACGATGCTGCGCCCAATCACTTCCCAGATGTGCATGGGCTTGTCGAGAAACACCGATCCCACTCCACCCTTTCCAACCTGAACGGTTCCAAAGATGCCTCGACAAGCCTTGGTCTCTTTTTGTGACTGACCAAGTTCCCAAATCCCACCAGTCGATTCAGGTCCCTCGGAAATGTTTCCCGACTCACGTACTGTGGCATGATAGGTTCCAGGTGACAGCCCTCTTATACTCAAGTCCACAATGGTCATACCAGGAGAAACTTCCACCATGCGCACCAGGCCGCGAACCTTGTTCTCCACCTGTGGTGCGTGTGATTCTAGAATGCATACCGCTGCACCTGCGTGGCATGGTCAGTATCGCATCTCTATATACGCGTGTGTGCCAAGTCAACGACACCAACATACTGTCTGATTTGCCCGACCCCCGGAGAACAGCATCACGCCCAGTAGCTTGAATCGCCTCTACAATGGCCGACGGTGCTGCTGTGCCCTCGACAGATACTAATTGCTCCTTGAGGTTGGCAGTCACTTTGTTGATACCTGCACCTTGTCAGAAGCCAAAATGACGTGCATTGGTAGTCCGCGCTCGTACCACTCAACTGATGTAGGGAACCCTCGATGTCGTTGATGCACGACTGACAGGTCATGGGCACTGCGAATATCGTTTCAAAGGCTGTTACCGTCATGGCGAAAAGAGTGAAATCGGTATAATAATGCCAAAGGCTCGACTGTGGAACAAGAGGAAATGGTCAAAGTTGTGAAAACATGCCACTTCGCCCTTGGTACTTATTACTCGCTTTGAAATCCACACCCGAATCCCCCGCCCGACATGGATGCGGCGCTGGGGTGGGCAGATCTTATCAATCATGTGACTGCGTTCTGGAAATTGTGAGCATTGCGGCTTGGCATCAACCTCCACTGTGCAGCGACTACCACTGCGACCACGAGATTGCATCCGCCCAACCGCCTTCTGGACAGTCCTAGGGCGACTCTCCACTTGTCGTAATACAGAAGGCAGTCGGTTTCCCTGGCCATTGGCCCCATACCACACAATGTCGCAAGTCATAGGCAAGGTACACATCCCCATCGGACCTCCGCACGCCCATATCCAGGCCCTTCCAGCAATTCCCCTCTAACACAGACAATACACCCCCTCACTACACCACAGCTAACACAATCCCCCAGACGCGCCTCGCCTACGCCCGCTCCTGGCACCACCTCGACATCGGCAGCGACCCACGCGCCCTCGGCCGCGTCGCCTCCGCCATAGCCCTCACCCTCATGGGCAAGCACAAACCCATCTTCGACCCCTCCACCGACTGCGGCGACTACGTCGTCGCCACAAACTGCGCCCAGCTCCACACCACGGGCAAAAAGCGCTCCCAGAAACTCTACCGCACCCACAACACCCGGCCCGGTTCCCTCAAAGAACTTTCAATGGATAAACTCATGGCCAAATGGGGCGGCGGCGAGGTCCTGAGGAAGGCGGTTAGCGGCATGTTGCCCAAGAATAGACTGCGGAAGGAGAGACTGGCGCGGCTGAAGACTTTTGAGGGGAGGGCGCATCCGTATGCGCAGAATTTGATCAAGGTGGGAAACGGAGGTGGGCAGAGTATAGTGGAGCATCAGGATGTTAAAAGAACGTTTGCACGCGCGAGGGAGACACAGGGTGATGCGGCGCCGGCTTCATGACAGCGTGGGGCTGGAATAGAGGCAATGGAGATTGTAGGCTTGTAATAAAACTTGTATGCATGAGTACGGTTATGTATGGATGGTTTGCATTTTGGATTCTGGATACCTATGAAAATGAACAAGCACACAATATCTGACACACTATATTTAACCATGCGACAAGGTAAAGTGCGAAGAAATGGGATGGACGTAGTATTCAATCATTACAAAGTGAATCACTAACACATGGCCAAGCCAATTAACAAAAATCTATTTCTTTTCATGTGCTTCTCTATTACCGGCATTGTACGCGTCTCTCTCTCTTCGCCCCGTCATTCAGCCGTGAAGATACATGTGCGAGAAGATGAAAAAAAAGATGCGTGAATTCCTTTGCCTAAAAAGAGTGAAAAAGAACCCGCTATGCAAAAGCCCTGCCCGCCCGTGTAAGAAACGCAAACGCCGTGAATGCCATTCTGAAACTCCTGATTCCATGGGAGAAGACAAAGAAATTTGACAAGAGAAGAGCGAGGAAAGAAGAAACCAGAGGCCCGAGGGCACAGTTGAGAGATACAAGCTGGCGAACAAAAGCGTGTCGCTTTACTCCTTTTTACTAGCGAGGATGCTGTATTGCCCACCGCAGCCCGCCCAGGTCAGCTTCGTCTCCCGAACGGCAGTATTATCAATCATGGTTGGCACTTCAATGTCGTCATCAGTGCCCTGGCCCGTCTGATAGTTGGCCGAGAAGCCCCATGAGTAGGCTTTGCCGTCCTTGTCAATGACGATGCTGTGATCAGGACCGCATGCACCAGTGACAACGTTCTTGAGGTTGGGAAGAGGCGTGGGCTGAACAACAATCTTGGCCTTGCCATTGTTCTTCAACACCTTGTCCTCGTCTGTCTCAGCATCGAGCTCAGACGGAGGCAGACCGGTCTGCGCACCGTCACAGCGACCCCAAACAAGTACTTGTCCATCCTTGGTGATGGCAAGGTTGTGGTGCGCACCTGCGGCTAGTGACTCCACTGACTTTCCTTCAAGGCTGTGTATGATCTTGGGCTGGAGAACGCTGGCATCCTCTGCACCAGCGTTATCAGTGTAGCCCGTCTCACAGTAATTGTTCGCACCCCATGCCCAGATGTGGCCGTCTTCTGCAATTGCGAGACCGTGGTAGTCGCCAGATGCAATGTATGCGATTCGTTGACTGTGCTTCTTGATCGAAGTATCGTGAAAGCCGATCCTGTTGGGTTGCAGAGCTTGGTGCAAATTGCGCTCAGTCACGCGACGACCGAGTTGATTCTGCTGACCGTTGCCCCAAGCATACACGTGTCGGTCCTTGTCCAGCACATAGACATGGTTGGTACCGCAAACAATCTGTGTAACCTTCTTGACGGTATCCAGGTAGACAGGACGCGGAGCAGTGTGGTTGCCACGCTCAAAACCAAGAATGCCTTCGTTTTTGCGGAAAGTACCCCAACCATAAACAGCTCCCTCAGTTGTCAGCGCAAAAGAGCAGCTGTCGCCAGCAGCAACGTCGACAAATGTTGTATCTTCGGGAAAAAACTCCGCGGGAACAGGCTTCGGTGTGGCCTCCTCGTCATTCAGACCACCAGTCTCGTCTTCTGAATCGGAATCGGAATCATCTGCGCCCACGTCGCGCATCTTGACGTTAGCGTTGGATGTGTCACGTCCAAGTGCACCGTTATCGTTTACGCCCCATGTCAGAATCTTGTTGTCCTTTGTCAGCGCAACAACGTGCATACCGCCAGTAGCAATCCTGACGACGTTCATGTTCGTCAGGGCTTCGTTGAAGCGTGGTCGCTTGACGTCGATAGCCTTCTTCGTTGCCCCGAATCCAAGTTCACCAGAGCCACCCTCACCAAATACAAAAACCTTGAGAGGCTCAGTGTAGCGGATGGCATTGATCTCGGTCTTCTTTCCCTTTGCGCGTCTTGGGCCCTTGGGATTCGGGACAAGGGCGGGATTGACCGGGGCCTTGGGCTCAGCCTGTGGTGTTGGGGCCTTGGACTCGACCTTGGAGGCAGCTTCGGGCGTGGGCTCTGGCGATGCTTCCGGTTCGCCCTCGGGCGCGGTCTCGGGGGCAGCCTCGGGAGCAGGCTTAGGGGCAGGCTTGGGAGCGGCCTTTGGCGCAGCCTTCGCACCATTGACCTTGGCCTTCTTTACAGCAGGCGCAGGAGCCTCCTCTGCTTCCTGCTCGCTCTCCTCGTCTTTCTTGCGCTTTGTTGTCTTTTTAGTCGCGACTTTAGGCTCAGCCGCAGGAGTCTCCGTCTTCTTCGCGCGACCGCGTGCAGCAGCTGCAGGATCCTTAGCAAGTGATGACTTTGATTCAGACGCGTCGTCCTTACGCTTTTGAGCTGGTGCTTCGACCTCTTCGGTCTTTTCATCAACGACTTTGGTTTCCTCGGCTACACCATTGGTGGCGGGCGCGTCATCACTCTTCTTTGCACCTTTTCGTGGGGCTGCGCGTTGGGTTAGTTGGAGCTTCGTTAGTCGCGATGGGTGGTGTGACGTACCAGTGCCATTGGCTTTGACTTCCTTGACGGTCTTCTTCTCAGCAGGCTTTGCGCTCGTAGCGCGAGATGCAGCTGTCCTGGCCATTATGCGCGACAAAGAAAACTTGATGCGCGTAAAAAAGGTTGTGTTGGAAACTGTGGTGGAAGAGGTTGGTGTTGTCCAGCACGGAAAAATGTTGAACTATTTAGTAGAGTTGGCGCTAGACTTCACATGGATCCACCGACGTGCAGCCACGGCCCGCCAGCTATTCACCGCGCACCTCACCGCCTGATTGGTTGCCCGGCATTCATTGCTCGCGTTCACCCTCGAGGCGCGCAGCATCTCGCACTGCTCTGCTTCCATCACCACTACATCCCCTTCTGATCGTCTCGTGCGTCCGGTTGCTTACGTCATATTCGTACACCGCTGGTACCTAGATGGTTGCCTAGGTACAAGCGTATTCACTACAGAGGTGAATATTACAACATCTTCACCTCCTTCATCATGTTTCACCAGTTCTTTATTCTTGTTGTTGTTCTGAAAGGGGCGTTTTGCGTTCAGCCGGAAGCGCCACCGCCGAAAGCGGCTCCCCTGCGTGACCTGCCATGGGCCCAACTCAACTTCTTGCACACCACCGACATTCACGGCTGGTGGGGAGGTCATCTGCAAGAGTACGTGATATCTTCCTGATACTCCTTGGTGAAGTCATACTTGGCTCGTCGAGGAACAAACACTCCATCTTACTGCGAGTTCTTGTTTACTTGTAATGGCCCGTGGTACAACATGATTTCTAACGTGCATCAGAGCATCCTATTCGTCAGACTGGGGTGATTATGTCTCCTTTGCTAAACACATGCGCGAAAAAGCAGATGCGGATGGATCCGATCTGTTGCTCGTCGATACCGGAGACCGAGTAGAGGGTAAATTTAAATGAACTCAATACTTATGACACAAACACTGACCTCGCCTCTTTACCATTCTAGGCAATGCAATCTACGACTCCTCAAAACCTCGGGGAAAGTTCACCTATGAGATTGCCAAGGAGCAAAAAATCGACCTTATTTGCTCTGGCAACCATGAGCTTTACAAAGCTAATACCGCTGAAGGGGAATTCTTCCACACTGTTCCCGACTTCAAGGGTAATTATATAGCTTCGAACCTCGATATTTACAATCCAAAAACCGGAAAATTGGAGCCTCTTGCCCAAAGATTCAAGAAATTCACCACCAAGAATCAAGGGATCCGCATCCTGGCCTTTGGCTTTTTATTTGATTTTACAGGCAATGCCAACAACAGCGTCGTGCAAAGAGTTGAGGACACTGTGAAAGAAGAATGGTTTACGGAGGCTCTCAAGGATCAAGACGTCGATCTTATTCTCGTATTTGGTCATGTTGATATCCGCTCCACAGAGTATGCGCTGCTGTTCTCTACTATTCGTGCTTTGCACTGGGACACTCCCATTCAGTTCTTTGGAGGACATACCCATATCCGTGACTACAAGATCTTCGACAGTAAGTCGGTAGCTCTCGAGAGCGGTCGGTACATGGAAACCATCGGATTCATGTCTATTGCTGGACTCAGCACTGGAGGGACAAAAGACGCAGCACCTGTGCCTCAAAGCTCAGCGCTCACCTTTTCTCGTCGCTATATTGACAACAACCTATTCTCCATGCACCACCATACTGGAAAGGATGATCAGACTTTCCCGACCGAGCACGGCAAGAAAGTATCAGAAGCCATTGGCGATGCCAGAGAATCTCTCGGCCTCGGCAAGGTATACGGTTGCGCACCACAGGATCTATGGATCAGTCGAAGACCATACCCCCACAATGAGAGTATCTTTACCTGGATCGAGGAACAGCTCTTACCCCAGTCAATCGAGAAATCCGACCGCATCCGCGACGGGGGCAAAGCACTGGTTCTCACAAACACGGGCGCCATCCGCTTCGACATTTTCAAGGGGCCCTTCACCAAAGATACCAAATTCCTCGTCTCGCCGTTTACTAGCGCAATCCGATACATCAAAGATGTACCATACAAAGCAGCAAGCCAAGTAATAAAACTTCTCAACAACGAGGGACCGATCCTATTAGAAATGATGGAAAGCAGAGCATTCCTCCAACCTCCAGAAGCCTTCGCAGCAAAGTCTAGGCCACACATGCTTCAGGTACTTGAGACTGCTTTTGCGAAACCCGAGCACGGCCAGGCACCTCTCAGCAGTACCAGCGAAGACGAACCAAAGCCCTTCCCAGGTTACACGACAAAAGATGACGCTGGTACAGATGGCGATGACACAATCCACGAGCCGATTGCCTTTTACAATGTACCAAACTGTATCCAATCAGCTGTTGGATTCGATCCTGCGAGCAGCAACGATCAGGAGGCTGAGACTGTGGATCTCATGTATAATCAGTTCATTGAGAAGTGGGTTTTGTTGGCGCTGGAATATTTAGGTGAGAAGCATAGTGTGGATGATACGTTGGAATATGATGATGGGAAGAGCTTTACGGATA